CTTAATTCTTGTGCTAGTGAGAAATGTAAGGTCCGATACCTTGGGAAACATTAAAAGGAAGATTGATAATGCATTATATCAAACACTGCTAAGAATCCTTCTTATGGTGTGATGCAGTCCATTGATCCTACTGATAACAGGTCATAAGATCTTAGACCTTATCACCTTGACATCACATATGAAAAAGGTACTGAGGATAGATTGCAAAAAGCTGTAGAATGAACCTATTGAAAAGTCTCCTTTGCTCTGATGTCACTTTGGTTTGTAAGGTGGCAGCAATACAGATGATTTTTGCAGGAGAATAGGTATGACAAAACTGGAAAGAGCTGTAATCTTTTAGGTTAATCTGTTAACTAGATAAGGGCATATATTTATGTGCCTATCAGGTTGACTCCAGTATCAGTAATTTTGGATTTTTTTTTCTTTTTTTCAAAGATAACACATCCCCATATTCTCCAAATAGTACATTGGATCATTTAATATTGTTGGAAATGTTTGATTTACACAGAAGAAGAATCTGAGCTGGTGAGTGACTGAAAAGTCAAAATTATTTTGCTTAAGAAGTCCACCCAAAGGAAATAGTTTTAGGATTTTAGAGCATTGAAAGATTTAACAATGTTTGTATAGYGATAAAAGTGATGGTGACAGACATAAAAAAGAAAAGCCATGCACACTTCTCCTCTTCTTTGGTGCTTTTTTTCCTCATATAAATTACAGACTTTTCAAAAATTATCTGTAGTTTTGTTATACTAACACCAAAGAGCACACAAATCTCTTTAAATTTAAAAAAAATTCAAAAAAATTATAAATAAAATAAAGCAACAAGACTTAGTTGTTTAAAATTAAATACCGTCTTCATACTGAAAGGATAATTTGATAGAAATTGACTGTATCCAGCTTTGTATGAACAGTTACTAATTTAGCTTTGTTCAACTTTTTAAGTCCAAGTCTTTGTTTACAAGCATTTAACATMATTCAGGAGCAACTGCACTCTACCTTTGCCAAACCTACATTCACTARGAAATTAATTTCTTCCTTCTGTCTCCACAGAAGTTTGGTCACAGCTGAAATTTCAAAGGGTCTTTACCCCCCTTTCATTTTAGGTCTGATGGGGATAGCAGCACTTGCTTTCTCCAGCATTAACTCCAGTTAAATCTGTTGGTAAGTGTTTGTGTATCCAGTAGTAGTATAGTTGCTCACAGGGCAAAGCAACAAAATAGTCTACATTTTGTGGAGACGTCTTTACCCTGTTTATTTCCATAACAATAAAATGAAAGTATTCTGTTTACTTTTCCCAGCTGCTATGATTGAATACGCCCAGGAAGACAGAAGAAGGAGGGGACCCCATGAATGGCTTTGGGGATCCATGAATGAGAGAGGCAGTATAAAACACAAACTCGCATTGTACCCCCAGGCTTTGATAATGAAAACACAGATTCACAGTTGAAATTATTACATAAATCAAAGAAACTTACTCACTGACATGGAAATTGTGGTTTCAAACTTTAGTAGGTTTTAGTATGAATTTGCAAGGCACTCACAAACTTGTAGGTAACCACTGAATATTTGTTTCTACAATCAGTAATTTTCCTATAATGAAAAATAATCTTTTCCATCCCCCTGAAAAAAAAACAAACACCAAAAAAACAAAACAAAAAAAAAAAAACAAACAAACAAACAAAAAAAAAACCAGGATACCTTTCTTTGCTTGCCCTAACAAGAAATAAAGTTCAAAACAGCAGCAAGGGGCAATGCAGAAGAACCACCAAGTAAATTGATTTGGAGAGGTTAAACTTTCTGATCAAATTTCTGTCCATCAAATCTGCATTTCCTTTGAAATGAGAATACATACTAACCCATAAGTCATTGAAGACTTACAGAGGTCTGAGTAGACACATATGGAAAATAGAAAATATTCTCAAAAACTGAAACAGAAACCCACCCTACATACACACCCTGAAGGTTTCCAGATCAATACCATGCCACAAAGATTTAATCCTGTTTGCCTAGATCTCTAGTTACAGGATTTGCAATTGAAGTGTTATCAAACATTAGAAATAAATTCGTGGAGGTTTCTGCTTTTGAAGCCTCCTAAAAACTGCTGAAAATATTAAACTCTTTTTGGTGTGCCTCCTTCCAATTTCAACATTTAGAGCAAGAAATTGAACCAGAACTATAGTTACRACTCCAATCTTCTTAATAACATGAWGYTACTATTCAGTAAATCAGTGTCTTAATCAATGGAATAAAATATACTATCTATTCAGATAAAGTGTTTGCCAGTCTAGAGTGAATTGTCATGAAAACAGGAAAGAAAAATAATTGGGTTGGAGAGTAGAATTTTCAAAAGTGAATTCCTTYAATTTAAAGGGTCTGGGGCTAGAGGAGGGGGAGTTCTTTCCATTTAATGACTTGAGCACAGTGCGGTTTAAATAGCACATTTGATTTGGGAATCTATTAGCCGATAATGACTCCTTGGAGAGAGAAAAAATTGGATTCACTTATTATTGGTTTGATTAGCAATATCTGTAATTCCATGAAGTTGTAAAATAGCTCAGCATTAAAACTGARCTATTTTCCATCACTTGCAGGAGCATAAACACAGCAACAGACAAGTTCCTGTGTCAAACACACTCCTGAATTCTGCAGTATTTTTACTGCCACTAGGATCAGGAAAATTATATTTGTTCATGTACATAGACAAGCTTGTGTTTTGTAAAGTATTTATGCTGTGCTTCGCAGGTATTAAGAGATGGATGACAACAATGTAGCAAAGTTGTTATTTAAACAAAGAGTGAAACCTCTATTTAACAAAGAGATACAACTAAATTTCAAACGAGGAAATAAAGCCAATGTTTGATTAATGATAACAATGATCCATATTGGTAGAGAAACTGAACTGTAGTGAATATAAGGGTAATAAAGGGAAGGGTAAACATAATTAAAAGAAAAAATTAAATTCCAAATGTCTGATCTGCTTTCCACTTAGAATAGAWTATGCAGTCTAGTAAACTAAAAAGACAAGTACTCATCTAAAAGCAAAGGAAGATCCTCCCAACCAAGCTGATGCTAAATTGTGTT